ACACACACACACACACACACACACACACACAGACAGACGCGCCAAAATAATACCTCCATTTTTCATGGAGGTAATAATAGTCCTAGAGGTAAGTACGGTATTGGCCGTAACTTCTTGTGTTCTTCTTCTTCATCTTTATAGTTAAGGGCACGCGCAACCTGGCCAAGGGTCGCTCGGCCTATCAGTGGAATACTCTGTCCGGAGGAGTCGCCAGCCGCGCTGTGGATGGGAACAAAAGTCCCTACTGGTCAAGTAACTCCTGCACCCACACGAAAGAGGATATCGACCCGTGGTGGCGAGTCGACCTGGGCAGCGAGCATTGTGTGGCCGAGGTGGTCGTCGTTAACCGGATGGACAGCTGTTGCAAAGGAAGGCTGGAAGGCTTCAAAGTTCACGTGGGCAACAGCGGTCATCCAGCCTTCAACCCTAGCTGTGGGGGACCGCAGTCCGTCAGCAAACAAAACGACAAAGGGGAAATCAGGGTAGACTGTGGCGGGCGGAGAGGCCGATATGTTGGGATAACTCTGGATGGCAACGAAAAAATCCTGACACTCTGTGAGGTGGAGGTCTATGGAGGTACGTCTGCATTATACCACTAGATTTCTGTTGTTCGTCGTTAAACTATGTCATTTAGGTCCAATACAGTTTTAGGGTCGGAATATCAGATTTTAGGCCAATATTCCAGTCATAGATAAACATACTAAGTTGTAGCAACACTATCCCAATATATACCGAGTCTACCGTGCCAGAACCGTGCCTAACCCTAAACTTCAGGTATAGAACTAGATAGACACAGTTCTTGATACGATAAATAGCCGGAAAAATGATCTGTCGTCAGAATTGACGTAGATTTTCATTAATGACACAGCTCCCATGTAAGTTTGTTTTAATCCTCAAAACGTAACGTGTTACAGAGAAGAGCAGCCGGAAGCGAGGAGGATATTATGGAGCACTCACAGGTACAGGTAAGGAATGTTTAGTTTCCCCCGGAATAATGAAAACAAAGCAATGCATGGAACCCGGAACAATGTAGAACAAAGTAGAACAAACCAATCGACAGGAGCATAGTTTCAACCTTTATCTACTCTTAAGCCTTACACGTAAGAGATGTCTTTTCGTCTGTCCTTGCAAACTGTAACATTTCTAGTTTAAACAGTTCTTTCTTGTGATGTACATTGTCACAGTTGGAGTTCTTGTCTGCACAGTTTTAAGTTACCCCCCCCCCTCCTCTGTCCTACAGGGGCCCAGGGCAACGACTTGGAGAACGCAGCCTTTGAGGAAGAGGCCTTGGAGAAAAAAGCCTGGGAGGAAGAAGCCTTGGAGGAAGAAGTCTTGGAGGAGATAGAAGCCTTGGAAGTTGCACTCGAGATGGAAAAATAGGCATCCAAGAAAGGCGTCAAGAATGAATAGTGACGCCCACAATATTGTAGCTTAAACCTTAAGTGTCTACTCTTTAAGTAACTTCATGTAACTTAAGCTTCAAGTAACTTGAGTCTCAAGTAACTTCGACCTTAAGTAATTTAAACTTCCAGTTGGTTTAGACATTGCGGTGTCCTAAACTTTAAATTTCTTAACACTAAAGTGACGTAACCTTCAGATGACTTAGCTATCCAGTACTTTAACCCTCAGGTGAAAATGTACCCGAAGTAGGGTTAATCATAATTCCATCAAAGTTTGACATACATCCATATACTTTGACAACCCACAAACAAAAGTCAGTGGATAACTTGAGGATTGAGTATGCAATAATTCTAAGAATAAGCTTACTTTTTGTTTAATTTTAATAAGATCTCCATTGGTGTGGTGTTAGATAAAGTTTACACTATTCTTCCTGGAGTCCGCACTGTTATGATGTAAATCACTTTGTGTTCGCCAGGCCTCCATCCGGGTAATTTGTAATGAATCACCAACTTACAGATAGTAGCTTTTGGACCATCGCACACCGGGGCATGTCCCTACTCTTCTGCGAAAGGTGTAGATCGAACACTACTCAACCCTGCAATCTTTTTTGCAACTAGTTTTGTATTGGTTTAAACATTAGTATAAGGAGATCAGGTGCACACATGGACACACACACATACATACACCACACAAACACACACACATACATAAAAACACACACACACATACACACACACACACAATACGTTTTACACACAAAACGCAACACAAACTAATAAAGAAAGGGGCAAACACAGGGAAGTTTGAAATTTCAGATGTTTGGTGGATTTTAGAGTGAAGAACTGCAATTTTAACAGAAGAAATTGGACGTACCCAAAATTTTCACTGCTCATTAATTGAAAAAGACTGGGGTTCTTTGCTTACTTACTTGATTTTGTCGAGTCCAAACTTACAGAAATCACCAAGACTGTCCAAAACTTGGTCCAGTTTCTTGTGTTGGAAACTGCAGTTCAAACTTGATTCACGAATACTAATAATGGTAATAAAAGAGGTGATCGGTTAAAATGCCTGGCTTTGTGTCCTTTATTTTGGAATCTGTGTCAAGAAAAGACTGTAGGGCAGTGACAGGCCTTATATCGAAGTGATTAATGTTAAGCCAACTGGTAATTATACGTAATTAGTGGAAAATAGCTTTGCTAATGATATAATGGGCTTGTGGACGACGAAAAATCACAGAAAAACGCTGATTCGTGTACGTAGCATCGCATCAGGTTTTCGGGTGCACGAAGGGGTAATAATGAGATGTCCTAAAGCTAAATCTCACGAACTGACAGCAAAAAGGTGCTTATTAAGGCAGCATATCAGGCCTGTTTTGTTTCTGCAACCGAATCCAAAAACGAGGAAAATCCATCTTATTCCGCTTCTTTGGACATGAGTAGCTCAATAAATATATGTGAATAGATAAGATTGGTTAAATCCTTTTTTTGGTTACTTGTTTCCGAGGTTTCACACACACTTACAATGAGAATTGACTTGTCTAAACAACATAATACTTTTCTGCAATCACAATCATTTATTGATAAATGTACATTAGAATCATTTCATCCATCCACGTCAAAAAGTATTTTACATCAGAGTTTATACATACATTTATTAGTAAATAAAGTAAGGTGACAACTTCACAATCTTGAATTGATTCGGATGAACATGAAATACTTTGCAAGAAGAAAAGGTATGCAATTAAACAAAGGTACTCAATTAAACAAAGTTTTCAATCCAACTATACACACACACACATATATATTTAGATAGATGCGTACTCAACTATAGCTTTCGTCAAGCCAACTATATAATATATATATATATACACACACACACATACTGTCATATACAGTATATGTCTCTTTCACTCTCTCTCTCTGTCTCCCTCTCTCTCTAAACAACTTAAATTGCTGTGGCCTAAGAGTAAAATGTACATAGATCTTTGAAATCAAATCTATCATGCTGTAATCATAGCAAACAGTATTTACATAAAGGGTTCAGTTCTATTCAAGGAGCAAAGTTGCCCTAATTTTAATTAGTTATCCTTATTCTGTCCTTTTTGTTGTCGTTATAAATCTGTTATATAATACACATATTTTGCACACACATGGTACACATGATACAAATAAAGAAGCAAAGAAACAACACCTAGGCTTATACTATCATGAAAGGTCGTCTGTGTTGGTAGTTACATGTTTAAAGTTAAGATTTTTGGTCCAACACAAAAACTTCTCTCACCTAGCGCGGGATCCTAGTTCGGCGATCCTGCGCTAGGTGAGAGAATTCTTTGTGTTGGACCAAAAGTCTTAACTTTAAACAACACCTAGGTTTAATAATCTTATTAATTATCTCTTTATCTTCTAATTAACAGTTGCTCTCGTTCCCAGACATGTACTGCTCGATCCCAGGTAAGGCTGGTGAGGTCCTCAGGTCCCGGTTGGTTCGGGCCGGCTCCTTGGCAGACCTGAGACGTTTGCGGAGCCTCGGAGAAACGTCTTCCTCCTCTTCTTCTTCCTCTTCTTCCACCACCTGGAGGTAACACGGAAATTTAAAGTTGACGCCAGTAGCCAGGATTGTGCTTGGGGGGGGGGGGGTGTTCTTCCCACTGTCTAAGGGACCAGCGACAGGACAAGTGGAAATTAATGGTGTTAGTGTTGCACATATCTACTTATGATATCTACTATACCAAGGACCGGGAAGCAGCTCAATGCAGCGAAGCCCGTCCCAGCTCTGCTTTGAACTGGGAGGTGGACTTCGCCTCCGCCACACTGGGCTCAAGTTTATTCCACTCCTTGATGGTGCGAGGGAAGAACGAGAGCCTGTAATAGTTGTTCTTACTCGCGATGGTCTGCAGCTTTAAAGCGTGGTCAGTGCGACGAGAGCCTAGGGGGATCCAGGGTCATTCTCCCCGGGAAAATTGTGAGAAATCGAACCTTCTGAAATGCGAGTTATTTGAAGGCATGTGCGAATTTTTGGTAGGCAAATCAGCCTCCTCAGGATACCTCTCTGATGACTGTGTCCAGCCTGAGTGGTGGAAGCCTCCGTCCCTGTACTGCCGATCCCGCACGCTGGGAGGCGCTGCTACGCTGTGCTGCAGGCGGCTCCTGCAGTTCCGACCCGGACTGCTGTGAGGCGCTGCTGTACTTGGCAAAGATCTGGTTCCGCTCGTGCTCGCGAAGCTCCTTCCTGTCCAGACGGGCGCGCTCCTGGGGAGTCAGGTTCTCCTTTCCTGATGCCCGGCCTGGAAAAAACAAAACAGATGATTTGTGATGTATGAAATGAGTACTGAAAAGCCTTCTGGTGCAAAATACTAAGTAAGAAGTCACCAGTGAATGCATCTTCTTGTTAAGATGGGAATTTATGCCAAAGAACCCTTATAAATAAACTTTGTACAAGGTACAAAGTCTGGAATCTATATGTTAATATTGTAACAAACATACCGGTACTATGAGACTTATCTTCCTTACATAGACTATACATTGGATAGGAATGCACTTTTACAGTCAGTGGTGGGACGCGATTGGACTTGTATGTAGTGAATTGCAAATATGTGGGACAATGAAGCAATACTCAGACATTGATCCTTACCCCTCCTGCTGGGGTGAGCGCTGGCAGCGCGAGTCGGCCGGGGGACTAGAGACTCGCTGTCCTCATCGTAAGCGTCAGAAGCACCCGACTCGTTCATCTCCATGGAGCTCTGGCCACTCTCTCCCTAAAGATAGAATATTCATCTTTTAAATATAATTAGTGAATCTCTATGGAAATCACTCGATATCTTTATTTGCAATCAGATACAGATTCATGTACAGATACATAATATTATTCATGCACAGATACAGATTCATGTACAGATATACAGATACAGATTTTCCGAGTAGGATGACCGTGTCAGTCCCTACACCTGAGTGAGGGTTACAGTTGACACGGTAGCCTTCGCGTGGATTAGTGAATGAAAGGCCTTTATTGTATGTTTATGCTCTTGAATGCTGTGCCTTGGATAAAGACACTTTACACCAGGTATTTCCTCACTGGAGTCTGAGGGAAAAAGAAAACCTAGCTTCCAGGTTAGGAACATCTTCACAGATGGGACGTAAAGCTATAGAAATTCCATGTTTTAAGGGAGACATTCTTTGAGCACATTTATGTAAAAGAGTAGGGGTCGATTTGAGTGTGAGTGGAAAAATCAAATCTGGAGTGTTACACCAATGGGCAGTTATCATTAACTAGTTGACCAATTCATGATATATATTCAGCACCAGAGACAGGCCTGTTCATACATGCAATGTTACACATGGTGTTCAGTACCAAGGTTACATTCCATGTGTATGTATTCTATGCCAGATTTGGCCAACTTGTGGAGTGTCTGTCACTTGGACTAACTCACACACAGGTCCCACTTGCATAAGATAAAGAAGATATAAATTTTAAGGGTCCTCACACTCTCCAGGCTGCCCTGAGATCCCAGAAGTCTGGTCCTGCTGGAGCTGCGCCCGGGGTTGGCCGGTCCGGCCAAGTCATGTGCCTGTAAATCGTCCTGGCTGCCTGCAGGAGTCACCTGATTACTTCTCTCATTTTTCCTGGAATGGGAAAGAAACAAAAAGATGAAGAAAAAAAAGTTTCAAATGCTGTTTTATTATTTTATTCTTGTGAAAAAATTGAACAATATTTCAAAATCTGATTCATCATTCATCATTTTACATGTTAAAATAGTTTGCAAGTAGTTACAGTTACTGTAGTGCTTTATTGAAAGCATGTTCTTGCCGCAATTTTGCCAGCAACACTCAGAAAAAATGTATAATATGTTACAGTAGTACTGTGTACTGTGCTCACATACACATACATCCCCCCAGACACATAATTATATACAGCCAGAGAGAGAGAGAAAGACATAGAGAGAGAGATAAAGAGAGAGAAAGAGAGAGGCTTACTCAAAGACAGATTCAGAGAGAGAGAGAGAGAGAGAGAGAAAGAGAGAGATAGAGAAATGACAGCAGGAAAGCAAATACTTAACGGTAGAACAAAATTGAAACAAACAGTGGTACTGACTTCTTCATGACCAGCACGACCAGGAAGCAGAGAAGCATGATGGTTAAGATGACAGAGAAGAAGATAATGGTGATAACCCATGAGGCCAGGGTGAGAGAAAGGAGACAGAGGAGAGACAGAAGGAGAGATGAAGAGAGAGACAGAAAGAGACAGAGATAGAGAGACAGAGAGACATAAAGAGACGAAGAGATAGAGAAAGAGACAGAAAGGAAGAAAAGGAGAGATGAAGAGAGAGACAGAAAGAGACAGACGAAGAGAAAGAGAGACAGACAAAGAGACATAAAGAGAGAGAAAGACAGAGACAGAGAGAGACAGAGAGAGAGACACAGAGAGAGAGAGAGAGATGCTGTACTAATCCAAACAAACAGTGGTACTGACTTCTTCATGACGAGCACAGCCAGGAAGCAGAGCAGCATGATGGTCAGGATGACGGAGAAGAAGATAATCGTGATGACCCAGGAGGCCAGGGTGGTTGCCGCTTCAGCCGTCTGAGCGCTCGACGTTCCCTCCCCGCCACGGATCCTGTAGCCTAGTCTCTGGAACATCAGAAAACAAACATGTCAGAACCAAGAGGTCCCGGGTTCGAATCCTGCCAGATCACCAACCTTGTGCCTTTGGCAAAATTTTCATGAGTATGTCGATGAAGGTTAACAACTGGATATGATTTTGGAAACGGTCAGACGTTTCAGCTAGCATCCACTACTTTTCATGAGTATTTCAATTTCAGCACCAAGGGCAGGGATTGTTTTCCACGTCCCCTGCCTGCCGCATATCCTGTAGCCTAGTCTCTGGAATATCAAAAAACGAAAATATCAGAAGACAGAAGAAAGATGTCCAGACTATGCATGATGTTCAAAATGACTAATAAACTGGTGGACGTCCCAACTACTAAGTACCTAATACCAGCCCAGAAGAGACCAAGAAATAGCCATGCCTTCAAGTACCAGAGATATCAACCATAGATTGACCTGCTATACGGGTACAGATACAGTAAGTGTGAGTGTAAGTGAGTGGGTAAATGATAGAGTGAGTGTGAGTGAGTGGGTGAGTGAATGATAGAGTGAGTGTGTGTGTGAGTGGGTGCCTGAGTGAATGATAGAGTGAGTGTGTGAGTGAGTTTGAGTGAGTGGGTGAGTGAGTGAATGATAGAGTGAGTGTGTGAGTGTGAGTGAGTGGGTGAGTGAATGACAGAGTGAGTGTGTGAGTGAGTGAGTGCGAGTGAGTGGGTGAGTGTGTGTATGAGAGTGAGTGAGAGTGTAAGTGAGTGTGTGAGTGTGTGTGTGTGTATGAGTGAGTGTGATTGAGTGAGAGTGTATGAGTGTGTGGGTGAGTGAGTGAGTGAATGATAGAGTGAGTGTGAGTGAGTGAGTGTGTGTATGAGTGTGTGTGTGAGTGAGTTTGAGTGATAGAGTGAGTGTGAGTGAGTGAGTGTGTGTATGAGTGTGTGTGTGAGTGAGTTTGAGTGAGTGGGTGAGTGAATGACAGAGTGAGTGTGAGTGAGAGTGTATGAGTGGGTGTATGAGTGTGTGTATGAGTGAGAGTGAGTGAGAGTGTATGAGTGTGTGTATGAGTGTGTAGGTGAGTGAGTGAGTGATGCTAGGTTTAAGAAGTCGACACCTACCGCATTTATATCCTCCTGCCCATCCCACACGGCCACAGCCAGACTGAACTGAGGAAGGTACCGCGGAGCCTGGGCTGGGTCCTCTGGCGCTGCTCTGATCTTCCTCAGCACCTGGGAGATGGACAAGGCTTGTTTTCAAACTAGATAGGTAACATTTGCAAAGCGAATAGCCCAAAAAACTACTGTACAAATGCATTCATACACGTATGTATGGTGAGCAGTCTCTTCAACTCAGTTCTGCTACATATTGTAACCCAACACCACAGGATATTACTACAGCACAAGTTACCATGGTAGCGTGACATACGTCTGGTCTGAGCAATTGACTTTTTGTTTGGAGAGGAAGCAACAAAGCAAAAACTTGATATCGGTTCTAGCTATTCTCTACAAGTAAGGAAACAATGCAGACAATAGTTGCATTCTTATCACATAAAACACGATTTACAGAATTTTACAGTGGGTTACCTATTCATAGTGACCACTGAAGGGAATGAGGAAAATGGCAGACCTGAGTACACTGGTGTTCTGTTCCAATAGGTTACAGTAAGCTCCTTACCTGTCCCTTGGCAGCTGAGATCTGGTCTCCAGTGAGACTACGGATAACTCTGTTGCCACTACCGGTCTTACACAGGTTGTTGGGTCCAAAGTCATTCTGTATGAAGATTCTCACTCTAGAAACACCAATAGAAAATTACATGATGTTTTGCATATCCTGGTATCAAAGAAAAAAACATTATACATTGCATTTTCGTTATCACTAGTCTATCTTAGAAGAAGAGTGCGTATATTTGTTTGTAACTAGGAGGTTGTGAGTTCAAACCCGATACCTGGCTAAAAATGTTGCACACTACGTTCTTGGATTTTGGACTAAGCACTCAGTATCTGTCAGAAAGAGTATGGGATTAGGTCAACACACAACACTACCAGCGGGCTAGCCACCTGCTGTAGTGCCTGCACAGCTGTGTGGCCCATGGGCTACAGAAATGTAGATGGGCACAACCCCTATGCTCCACATGTAGAAGAACATCCCCCAACAGGTAATTTGAATTACATTAAACACAATGTCTCACTCTAGAACTCTAGAACTTTTCTTACTCAACATCTTCAGATTCCGTCTCGACCTTAGGATAACCTTCCAGCATGCCCACGTTTCCTTGTGATGTATAGCTGTGCAACTCTCGCCTGGTGGAAAAATAAGAATTATTTTTTATTAATTCTTTTGTTATGCTATAACTTATTAATAGCATGTTTGAAAATTGCAGTGTTACATGTAAATAGTACAGCGCTCTGGAAATGCTAAAGAAAATTTAGAAATACACAGTCACGCATCTCTACATGACCAACCAACCAACCAACCAACCAACCAACCAACCAACCAACCAACCAACCAACCAATCAATCAAGCAAAAAATCAACCAATCAACTAATCGATCAATCAATGAATTCAGTCAGGCAACAAACCAACCAATTTGGTACCATGTAACCAGCTATAAGCTAACAAAAATTCACACTCACTAATAGCATTTCATATAGCAATAAAGCAGTAAAATTTCAAATGTAACAGAAACAAAAACCAACTAGCAAAAACAAAAAAAAATGTTACTCAAGCAACTGGATAGATTAAAAAAAACAGCTGCAATGTCCTCACCACTCTCCAGAGTAGGGGCAGCATTCAGCGAACCCCTCCTCAGTGTTACAGTAGTCATTCACGGCATCCGCTATGGCAAAGTTAAAACTGTCCTTCAGACCTTCCCACTGTAATATGAGGAATGAAAAAATTGTATTACTTTTTTGTATCATTTTTAATAACAGCAAAATTGGACTGAAGCATTAAGGCTTAGTTACATGTAATGTTGTTGTTTCTACTTGAATTTTTACAATTACCATAACCACTTTATCACTAATTAATAATTTTTACGGCTCTCAGTGGCCAATATGAGATGTTGTCACATCGGCGCACCAAATCCGTAAGGTGTTTTTGGCACCCTGACAGACAGATTAGCCTAAGAGGCTCGGTGGGCGTCACTCCACCGTATAGGTGGGGAAGTCGTGTAAAGTGCCTTTCCCAAGGGCACAACGTCGGGCCACGGTGAGTATCGAACCCGGGACCTCTCGGTTCCGAGTCCAATGCTCTAACCGATCTAACAATATATCACTGGTCTTACATTTTGAGGTATGATTGTCAGCAACTAGGTTACACTTGCAGCACATTGACACAAGTGTCTGTTTTTAAAGTTAAAAGAAATTATTTCTTTCTTCATCACTGCTTTAGATGCCAATGCCTATAATACTTGGTTTATACTCAAGTTGTAGAATGAAATAAAATGATAAAACACAAGCAAAAAGTTCACCTTGTTGATGGGCAGATCAATGATGAACACCTGGATAGAATGGTTCTCATCATCACCTGGTCGACAAATAGAAAAATATCAGCATCAAAGTTTGCTCATACACAAGCCTTTGGAAATTGTTACGCAACTGGACAGATCTGAAAAACTTTCGACAGGCATTTCAAGCAGCATCCATTACTTTTTGTCAGTGAATGCTGGATGCTACCTGAAATGTCTAAAATCTATCCAATTGCTTGAGTAACAATTTTCTGTACATGTACCTCATTCCTGGATGTCTAACCTACATTGACACAAAGTGTACTACATGTATGTAATATACTGTATAATACTGTTGTACAATATACTATATGTCATAATTGTGTCCTAGTTGTCATTTGAATTACATAATTAAATTGCTACAGCTTGCTACCTGGGCAGTCGTGGATGTTGCATTCCCGAGTGAAGGACTCGGTGGCCTGTTCACACCTCCCCTGGATGCACACCCTGCTCTGGGTTTGTATCCCTCCGCCACACGAGGCTGTGCACACAGAGAAGTCGCTCCAAGATGACCACTTGGACGTGCCTGCAACAGTGGAAGGATTGACATAACAGGTGACCATCACCTCTTCAAGATGTCAAACCTCAGAGACCAGACTGTAAGATTTGAACCACTCACACTGGGTACCCTACTCTTTTTGATAAGTGCGGTGGGTTCTTTAATGTGCGTAGGGTGTGGCTGTCCCCAACACGGGACCTCCATTTAACGTCCTATCTACATTGTAAGGGACATTTCTAAACCGTAGCTACGTAATGATTTACACCTGAGCAAAGTGAAGTAAGTCGTATCTGTATCTGTATCTGTATAGCCGGTATAACCGCCTTTCGGCGTAACACACCAGCTTCGCAGGCACGCGGCGCGGCGGCAGCTGGCTATATTACACCGATCGACTTGTTCCACCTAACCCTTGAACTTCTAGCTCTAGACATTGTTTAAAGCTATCTATTGACAGTGCCCCTACTGTACTTGGTGACAGTGAGTTCCACTCTGCGATAGTTCTAGGAAAGAATGAATTCTTGAACACCTCAATCCTTGGTTGATAACTCTGGTACTTGAATGCGTGGCTATTTCTTGTTCTCTTCTGGGCTGGTATTAGGTACTTAGTAGTTGGGACATCCACCAGTTTATTAGTCATTTTGTACATCATGCATAGTCTAGACATCTTTCTTCTGTCTTCAAGTGAGGTCCACTGTAGGTTTCTTTTCATTTCCGTGACACTAGCACCTCTTACATAGTTGTTCATACAGAATCTTGCAGCTTGATTCTGTACCCTTTCCAATTTGTCTTTGTCTTTCTTTGTATATGGATCCCATACTGTCGCAGCGTATTCTAGGTTCGGTCTTACAAGTGACGTGTATGCAAGTGATTTTACTCTAGTTGGACATGCCCACAGATTACGTTTAATCACTCCCAATGCCTGTTTCGCCTTAGTTGTGATATTATTAACATGTGCACCCCACTTCAGTCCGCTTGTCAGCGTGACGCCCAGATACGGATGAATTTTTGTGCTTGCTAAAGCCTGACCACAAAACTGGTAGCTAGTTGCATGTGGTGTTCGTTTGTTTGTTATGTGCATAATGTAGCATTTTCCGTATTAAACTGCATGAGCCATTTGCTTTGCCATTCTTCCAGGGTGTTCAGGTCTTTTGGAGAAGTTGTGAGTCGGTCTGTGTAGAAAGCTCTACATACAATAGACAGTCATCGGCAAATAACCTTACATTTGAGTCAAGCTGATCTGGTAGGTCATTTATATACAAGAGAAAGAGCAATGGCCCCAGGACAGTTCCTTGAGGGACCCCAGACGCTACTTTAACTGGAGCCGACGCCTTCCCTTCAACCACTACTGTCGTGCACAAGATCAGTGCGAAGGTAGGATTCGAACCCCGGACCTCTTGGGTCTGAGGTGAACACTCAACCGTTGTGCCACATGACCCCACACATTAATGTTTTACTGCGTCCCAAATGAACACAGGAAATTGCTCGTAATATTTTATGTTTGTTCCAGGTACAGATCAGTTACATACAGATTAAAGGTGAAAGGTGACTGACCTTCGCAGGACAGAGGTTAAAGGTGAAAGGTGACTGACCCCCGCAGGACAGAGGTTAAAGGTGAAAGGTGACTGACCTCCGCAAGACAGTCCGTCCAGCCCAGGCTCCCCTGACGGACAGGTACAGCGGAACCCTCCCACAGCGTTCTCACAGACAGCGTCTTCTCTGCAGATATCTGGGAACTCTGAACACTCATCTATGTCTGTGGGGTAAAAAAGATTTAGATTTAGAGTTGGAGAATAGTACACATCCACACCAACACACACAAAATACATTTCAGCGGAACCCTCCCACAGCGTTCTCACAGACGGAGTCTTCTCGGCAGATATCTGGGGACTCTGAACACTCATCTATGTCTGTTGGGGAAAAAACAAACAAAAATTATAGAGTCAGTGGAGAATACATGCATGTACACACCCCCCCCCCCACATTCACAGAACAACTCTGATATCTGGGGACTCTGAGCACTCATCGATGTCTGCGGGGTAAAACATAACTATAGAGTTACAACAGAATGCACCCAATCCCCAACACATACACACACACACACACATACACACACACACACTAACACACACATACACACACACACACGCACATGTACACACACACACACACACACACACACACACACACACACACACACACACACACACATGGTTATAGGTTAAGAGTTATGGCACCTTCACATCTCCGCCCTCCTGGTCCCATCCTCATGCCAGTAGGACAGGCGCAGACGGCTGTGTCATTGACAAGGGTACAGGCATGTGAGCAGGGGTGGTCCTCTGGGCAGGTAGAATTGGCTGTGGCGATATAAATGTAGGGTTGTTGTTAGTTGTCTACAAAACAGACAAAATGGTGACCATCCTGGGCGTTTTAACTTTCAGCACCAAGGACAGGGATTGTTTTCAACATTTTTATTTTGTGACAAATATATATAGAATATAGAATCTTTTTTTGCATGTTCATGCCCATGGAGCTAAATTCATGCATTGGAGTATGATGTTACATGACGTACATTATACTGAGTAACATAGTACATAGGATAGAAGAATAAAAGAATAACATAAAAGTCTTAGGAACTACTGGAGAATACATTTTATCTAATCAAGGTCTTGAAGATTTTATTTTCTCTCCTTTTAAAGCAACTGGAGATTAATTCACGTAGTTGTTCTTTTGTAGAATTATGTATATAGATTTTGAAAAGCAATCCTCCAGCCTTACAGAACTCGCTGAATGCAGTTGACACGTACCTAAGCAGGTGAAGCCGTCCTGAGCGAGAATGAAGCCGTCCTGACAGGTGCACCTGAAGCCGGGGTCAGAGTTCACACACACCTGGTCACAGGTGTTCAAGGTCGGGCTCTGGCACTCATCAAGGTCTGCACAGGTGAGACAAGGTCATTGTTATATATAGTATAAACTTGTACATTTGTGCTAAAACTAGACTTCCAGAGCGCATCATTTCATACTTGTTTTTATTGGATTTTATGTGACTGTGACTAGATAGACATGGTTCTGGATACAGCATAAACCATTCAGGTATAGAAGTACAGTAGATACTATATTAGGCATGGTTCTTGATAAGATAGAGACTATCAAGAACCGTGCCTGATCCTTACTCTAACCTTAAATTATACACACAGAACTATATATGCACGATTTAGTAGTTACCCGAGCATCCGAGTCCGTCAGAGTCCAGCACAGTGAACTCATCACACCTGCAGGCGAAGCTGCCGTTCAGGTTCAGACAGGTGGTGTTGTCACGGCAACGGGCAGGTGTGGCGCAGTCGTCGATGTCTGCAGAATAAAATTCATACGACAATGGCAGCGCACATTGTGGGTCATGTTACATTTAACAAAATTGTAAATTCTTATTCTGATAATGATGTAGTGACCATTTGTAGCTTATTTAGAACAGGTACCAACATTTGTTGCTTTACGAAATATAACTCTAAGGATACCTACCTGTATGTGGTACATATACATGTAGATTGAGTGTAGAGTTAGCAATTTAGTAGTCCCTGTCAAATGATTTTTGTGTGTATTGATTGTAGGAATAAAGAATTTAAAAAAAAGAAACTTTAAGATGAAATGCTTCTCACTGATACCCATATCCAGTCATTTATAACAGACTGAGTATCATTGGTTCAAACTCAGCAGTATCAAACTCTTCCTGCGAAGGTTTTACAGTGAAAGGCTCTAGTTAGAGTTCTTACCGACACAGGTGGTGTTCTGCACCAGGGTGAAACCAGCAGGGCAGGAGCACACTTGTTTCCCAGCAATCATTGCACAGGAGTGGGAGCAGCGATGGCCAATGGGGCAGTCTGCATAGGCTGGAGAGATAAGAACACATTTCTCATGTCATAGACAGGAAAGAAGCGGTGTGCCTACCAAGAATTTGGCCAAGTACCACCTGGATTTTCACAGTTTCTGTTGCATGTTTGGTCAACATTTCATCTGGTTTTTCCCTGTTGCAGACAATGTCTCTTCTGACATAGCATTTGAAAACTATATATAGATGGGATGTTATCCTTACATACATGAATACAAGTGCTATGCACAATATATCACACAGTTCACACAGGCGCAGTGTGTTCTGTCGACATACTTCAGAATGAAATCCTAGTGCAATGAACTTTTAACAAGACTTACCCATGCAGGTCTCCTGGTCATCGTTAAGTCTGTACCCATCCGGACATGCACAGTAGAAGCCTGGCTCTGTGTTCACACAGATCTGTTCACAGGTGTTCTGCACTGGGCTCTCACACTCATTGTTATCTGCAGGAACAGCAAACAAATAAACAAACAAACAGACATGAGGCTAGTCTACATTGTACATACAGAATTTCCACTAAGACTGTTCACAAGTATTCTGCACTGTGCTCTCACACTCGTTGTTATCTACAGTAGCAAACAAACAAACAAGTAAGCAAACATGAACTTTTGTGTGTACACTAAAAAGACTTAATTCTCAGGTATTCAGTAACAGGCTCTCACACTTAGTCTTATCTACAGTATCTTCAGTAAGTCTTATATACAACATGAACTTTCATGTATACAGTAGTAAAGACTTTCCCCTCAGTCTGTTTAAAGTTCTTCTGCACTGGGCTTTTACACTCATTGTTATCTGCAGTAAACTAAGTCAATATGTCTTTGCCCTATTGCTGTATGTGTCAATTGTTCTTTAGCTTCTTTTGGGGTCTTACACAGGCTAGGCAGATAAATGAATTTCCATTCATTCATTCATTCATTGAAAAAGCAGAAAAAGGCAATACTACTTTTGCAGTATAGATATCATGGTAACAATTCTGCTGCAGGGTTTAATACATGTATTGCTAGTATAAGAGCTGCAGCTAGTTTGCACTGTCCTTGGTGCTGAACTTGTAGTGCAATAAGGACTGTTTATAACAATTACAAAATTAATGCACCTGTGCAGTTGAGTCCGTCCCCGCTGTAGCCATTTCAGGTGGGCAGGGGCCACAGGTGAAACCCAAACAAAATAAACAAACAAACAAACATAAACACACCTGTGCAGTTGAGTCCGTCCCCGCTGTAGCCAGGTGGACAGGTGCCGCAGGTGAAACCTGTGTCAGGTGCAGGCACGTCCACACACCTGACGCCTGGGAAGCAGGGGGAGCTCAGACATGCATCATAATCTGGAACAACAACATGTTTCTCAAGTAATGGTGGGTTGAGGACATTTAGGCATTGTTTTATCAAGAACCGTGCTGTAACAGTATTCAACTAATGCTCAGGTATTATTCTGGATAGTCCACACTTATCCAGAACCACGCTTCATCCAGATTTAGGTCCAATGCACAGGCACAGTTCTGGATAGTCCATGTGTATCCAGAACTTTGCCTGGGACAAATCTACATTCTTGGATACCAAGAGACTATCCAGATCTATGCTTGACAGGCACAGTTCTAGATACAACAACATGTTGATAACAGTTAGACATTGTATCCAGAACCATGCTCAGGCACCATTCTGGATTGTCCACATGTATCCAGAACCATGCTCAGGCACTGTTCTGGATTGTCCACATGTATCCAGAACCATGCTCAGGCACCGTTCTGGATTGTCCACATGTATCCAGAACGGTTACCGTGTCTGAGCATGGTTCTGGATGAATAAAACCATTGCATTGATAGATGGAAAAACTGTTATTATGTATATAAGGAAGACAAAGACTTTCTTCAACTGTTTGGGCCAAGATATGAGCATTTTGGAGTTGATTCAGAGGAATTTTTTGTAAATCAGAAAAAAAAACACGAAGTAGGTAAATCAATTTATAAAGTCGATGTGGCCATAGTAACAACAGAAGCCAAACGTAAAGGTAAGAAAAGTGATATCGATCTAGTTTCAGCTCACTGAAGAGCTAATCTTCCACTGGTCGTAACAGAGAAGACAGACGCTATGTACAGTATTTACAGGTTCATTGTACCAGGGAAATTCCCCTAGCTCTTTTCGACAAGCGTAATGAACAGTGGACCACGGCTTAACGTCCCGTCCTAAAGACTGCGACCCTAAACAGTAGCGTGCATGTCGGGTGAGCAACAACAGCCAACAACAACTCCCAACCTCTTAGTCCAGAGGCAGGATCGCTAACCACTGGACTAAGCACGCACCTATACACGTGGGGAGTTCTCCTATCCACTGTTTGGTAGGGCCACAGGTGAGTGTGGCGTCTGAGCTCAGTCTGTAACCATGGTGACAGCGGAAACGCGTGACGGCCTGGTACCGAGTGCTGTTCAGGACCAGGTCTCCATGAGCGATCATAACGTTAGGCGGACCGCAGTCAACAACTGTAACAAACACAAAGAGTTTACTGTTAGAAAATCTAAGCAGTGATGATATTGTATCCAGAACCGTGCTTATATAGTTGCCTGAGTGGGTTACGGTTAGAATAAGGTATGGTTCTGGATAGTTTCAGCATATCCAAGAATGTAGATTTGTTCCAGGCGTTCTGAATATACATCTAGATCCATGAAATGGATGGCTGACATGGTTCTAGATACAACATATGGATTGTATATATTATAAAGAAGGGGTTATTTTTTTTTCCATAGTCAATATGTAATGAAAAAGTTTGTCTTGGTTTTATTCCTACGGTTACTCAAAGGTGGTACTCATTTCACATCGGGTTAGTAAAAACTGCAGGTACTGGTGGGAATAGAACTCTTAACCTTGTGGTCCAGGAGGGGGGTTGTTGGAACACTACAAAGTTTTTTCTTAAAAACCAAAGAGTACCAGTATCTGATGTTTCAGTGTCTGCAAACTGTCTGCTAAGCAGATAATTGTAATGTTTAAGTTCCTTATAGGACGTGTTTAAAGTTAAAACTTTTGTTCCAACACAAAATCTCTCAACTAGAGCTTTCGAACAGTCACTCTGGTCTTCCTCAGTAGACTGACCCAGTGAAGCTTGTCACGTGGCTTCTTTGAAGTGTGACGTCAACACTGGGTCAAAGGTATCTGGTAGATGATGTCGGCCCCCGTCGCGGTTCAATAGGACTTATAGGACTGTTGTGAATACCTACGTTGGCACTCAGGCTGTCCTGTGCTCCAGACCCCGGCGCCCAGGCAGGTTGCAGTACCGTTCCCCACCAGTAGGTGTCCCGAGTCGCAGCTGTAGGTGGCCGTGGACTGGTAGAACATGGTGGGGTCACTCAGGGTCACTGACCCCTGCGGGGGTGCTGGTGGGGCCTGGCAGAAAGGGTCTGGGCAAAGGTCAGAGTTCATCCAATAAGTGAACAATATTCTGAACCCTGACTTAAGAATCACTACTGAATCTGATCAGTTGTAAGTTTACATTTTACATGGTTGTATGAGATAAATGTACATTTGGCAATAGCCCAATGAACTTGACAGGTAAAGTACCAGAGTTATCAACCAAGGATTGAGGTGTTCAAGAATTCATTCTTTCCTAGAACTATCACAGAGTGGAACTCGCTGTCACCAAGAACAGTAGGGGCATTGTCATTAGATAGCTTCAAACAATGTGTAGAGTTAGATGTTCAAGGGTTAGGTGTAAAAAGTCGATCGGTGTAATGCAGACAGCTGCCGCCACGCCGCGTGCATGCGAAGCTGGTGTGTTACGCCGAAAGGCGGTTATACCGGGTATAGAGATACAGATATATTACAGATAATCACTCACCACAGAGAGCCCGTATGTTCCCCAACGTCATGGGAACGCATCCGTCATCATTCTCGGCCCTATCGTCCACGAACTCCATGTCACGTGACCGGGTGTACATGATGCACAGAAACCCTGACGTCTCACACGTGTCTGTGGACAGGAGCGCCACCGTGCGGATGTCCTGGAACTGCACCTGGACAAAATAAACCATACACAATCAGACGTATAACAGACACAGCGATCTCTCCAATGGCAACATCAACATCTTCTTTCCACCATCAGGACTTCGACATGTAACTTAAGAACCTTGCAGTTACTGCAAGCCAATAAGTCATGGGACCTCGTGTACATGAAACACAGAAAACGTGACATCTCGCATGTGTTGGTGGACAGGAGCGCCACCGTGCGGATATCCTGGAACTGCACCTGGACAAAATAAACAGATTTCCATGTTTAAAAACACACAGTCACACAGAAAAAAAGCATTAACATCATTGGTGTTGTCAAGTTAAAAAAAAAACATTTCAACCCTGTATATGTATCAACCAATCAGCACCAAGGACAGAGCTTGCAAAGTGTTGGCCACTACCAAGGGACCAAACAGCAACATCTATTAGAATTAGAAAACTCCAACTACAAAGAAATCCATTCATAGATAACAATACAAACACAGATACCTCCGTCCCTGCGCCGTAGATTTCTGCCGAGAGTTTCCGGGCATATACGTCCGCCATGGTGAACGTTGTCGTGACGATCTGGCTCGGGCCGGCCTCAAGGTCGCTCGCCGACCACAACTGGAACTGGATGTTGGTCTGACCTTTTTTTAAGACAAAAAGGACAAGATGAAGACATACATGTACTCATGCTAAAGCTAATATGTTAGTGTCACCATCTAACATGAGAAAATAAAGCACATCAAAACAGATACAGACATGCAAAGCTAAGATAACAAGGTAGAATAAATAAAGTTACAATTATGCGTAATAACTATGTTACAGTAACTGTGATTAAATAAAATATATGAAGAGGCAATGTATATGCAAGTAAATTGCAATAGCTACTAATAGGTACTCCTAGTTGTATACGGTATTGTGTATATTTGGGGCAGTACAAAAAATAATGCTGAATACTTTCAAAAGGATGGTTTATGTTTTTGTTGGTCTGACCTACAAAGAAAGGCAAAACAAAGACAAACTGGAAAGGGTACAGAACCAAGCTGCAAGATTCTACAACTATGAAAGGGCTGCAACGGAAATGAAAAGAAACCTACAGTGGGGGTCGCTTGAAGACAGATGAAGAATGTCCAGACTGTGCATCAGATGTACAAAATGACTAATAAACTGGTGGATGTACCAGTGAGCCACTAAGCATATCTGATACCAGCCAAGAAAAGAACAAGAAACAGCCATGCCTTCAAATATCAGAGTTATCAACCAAGAATAGAGGTGTTCAAAAGTAGACTGGAACTCGTTGCCACCAAGCACAGTTGTGGCTACATCACTAGAAAGCTTTAAACAACTGCAGCAATTAAATGTGCAAAGATTGAGTGCAACAAGTCGTTCTGTGTGATATAGCCAGTTGCCAACGCGCCTGCGAAGCTGGTTTGTTACGCTGAAGAGCGGTTATACTGGCTATACAGATACAGAAGCTGGTGTGTTACGCCGAAGGGCGGTTATACTGGCTATACAGATACAGAAGCTGGTGTGTTACGCTGAAGGGCAGTTATACCGGCTATACAGATACAGATACAGACCTTGGGGAGCAGCAGGAATGGTGGACCAGTTGTTCTTCAAGGTCACGTTGAAGACCAGGGGAACGTCGAGGTTTGGGACGAGACGGTCGAAACGGAACGTTGGGGAAAGTCGTGCTGATAAAGACTTCACCTGCAGGTCTGGGAAAGAGAATTTGTGAAAATAGTCAAGAATCACAAAACATGAAGCAAGTAAGTATTGATACTTCATAAAAGAACAATCATATATATCTTTACAATTTGTTTCCAACATTCTTTTAATAAGGACATTTCAAATTAGACATCTATTGAAAGTAGAAACAGTTCTGGGCTTCTCTGGCAGCCAAGATTCTCTCAGACTGGTAAGTAACTAGCCCTTAACACAAACATTCCACCATGACAATTCTGCTTACTATATACATGTAGATATTGGGAAAAATATCAAATTTTACCAGTCCCCAACACAGTATACAATAAAAATGGCTGCGATGTTTTGACAAAAAACTATGATAGTTTTGTCTTCACTTTTGATCAAAGACTACTCAGCATATATCATTGAACCGTGAAGAAATTAATAAACTGATGCACCAAGGAACCTGTGGAAAAATAATTTAAACGTTTTTAGTCCTTACCAAAAGAGCAGTCCTTCTGCATCCTCTGGCAGTGGAAGTCGTTGTTTGGGTCGTCGTCACGGATACGGCGCGTTTCCATGGCAACGTACGCCACGCACAGGTACTCCAGCGCACTGCATGCTGGGACGGGGATCCTCACCACGGCCTGGAGTGACGTGAAGGTCACATGACCGCCGTCCGCAGCGATCTGATTGGTCAGGACGGCCTCCTGGTTGCCATAGGTGATGTTGATCGGGGTTAAATCTGCAGCAATCATTATGGGAGAATACATTAATCAAAAAGAATTGATTGACATGTTTAAAACATTAACCTGCTAATGGCAAGTTTGGCAATTTAGCTGGTAATGTTTAACAAGGTACAGCTATACATGTACACAAAAACAAGCACACTACACAAAACCTGACATACATATGTATGAAAAAAAGATGAGGAAGACCGGAGTGCCTGGTCGAAAGCTCTACAAGTGTAGGTGATCATGAAAGAACTTCTTTGTGTTGGATCAAGTTCAGTTCTACTTTTAACATGTAACTGTAACCAACACAGATCATTTTGTGATAGTAAAAGAATGAGATGAGACCAGACCTGCAAATGGTGAGGTAGGCAAAGCAGGTTGCTGGGCTAAGTACAGCTGCAGTTGGAAGTTGGGCCGGCTGTCAGACGGTATGGGTGGTCCTCCGTCATTCCGTACGGTCGTGTTGAAGGTTACCGGCGTGTCGACTCCGCCGTACAGGACAGGCAGACTGGTCCGGGACCGGTCGATCGAGTAGGAGAAGGATGGAACCGACAAACCTGGAACGGGAAAAGTAAAAGTCTGCGTTAGATGTTGAAATATGCAATTAACATATTGATTACTATACTAGGCAGCCTTCCATCTGCAGAGATGATGGTAGCACTCTAGGTCTGGTGATATGGCTGTGTGCAGCATCTAGTGTAGCTACTCAAACCTGGAACAGGAAAGAGTCAAAGTCTGTATTAGATCACTCACTCACTCACTCAAAGTCAAAGTCTGGGTTTGATGTTGAAATCCATATTGTTATTCAAGAAACAATTTACAGGACTTGATTTTTTTGCGAAAATGTTTGATTTCTTTGTGAAAATGCTAGAAAATTAAAGAAAAACCATCAGTTTTTACTGTTCAATGTTTTCTTCACTCGATAAACTGTAACTTACTTTTTTCACACCTTAGATGGGAACCCCCTTTGTAGACAAGAACATAAAGTTGTGAACTATATGTTGACTTCTCTCACCTTGTTGACAATTTTTATCCAGATCGTCCGTTGCCATGGCGATGCAAGCGATGTCGTCTGACGGGTTGTCATCGATGAATCCGACGCCGCTCACATCGAGGTACTTCAGGCAGAGCGCAGTAGCTGGCGCACACGCGTCATTCGGTACTGTGAAATCTATAAAAACGTTGTAGAATTCCACGTTGCCCTCCGCTTCAAATGTCCAGGGTGGTATCAGGCCTGACAACTGGAATGAATGAATGAATAAATGAATGAATGAATGGATGGATGGGTGGATAGATAGGTGGATGAATGAATAAATAAATGGATAGATGACTGGGTGTATAGATGAATGAATGAACGGAGAATGGATGAGTGAATGAATGAATGAATGAATCGATAGATGGATGGTGGATGAATGAAAGAATGAAGGAATGACTAAACCTGGTCCCAAGGCTCTGTTTTCATTAATATGTTTTTTCACTTAAGAAGCCTTTTATCAAAAAGAACCAACAAAAATTAATTGATATGGCCAAAATGAATATTATGAAAATTAAATAAACATCAGTTGAATCAAACCTTGGTTTCTTCTTCCCCATAAGTGAACACTGTGTCCAGCTTGTTGAACGAATCGTCTGTGTTCTTCAGGTACATTTCGAACTCGATGTTGCGACCGGACGTTCGAGCGCGGATCGGACCGCCGTAGTTCGACATGGTGAAGTTGATTGACAAGGTTGTCATGGTTTCCTCCAGGATACGCTGAGCAACGGACTCGAGGGTGAACTCAGCAGTCAGGGCGGTGATGCCGAGACCTGTGGGGGAAAACAAAAATCGCTCAGTCACTCCAAATATAACAGGTTTAGCGTTGTGGTGTTAAAGTGGTGGATGTCCTATGATAATATTCTCTTAACAATTCATTGTTTCAAGTTAATGGCGTTGAATTGCTAAGTGACATAAGATTGAGAAATTGAGGGTTCGATCCTTGGAATTACTAGAATTGTGTCCTTGGTAAAAGCTGTTAACATGACTTTCCTCTCTCCACCCAGATATGAATGGGTACCAGACTTCAGTTGGGGAGATAAAAGGCAGTGGAAAGAGAGGGATGGGCTTCACCTTCCAATTATAGAATCCAAAACCATATGCTAGACACAGTGAACTAACAGCCCTATGACCACAGAGATACTACGGGACAACGATTTTATCATGCCCATACGCACCTTTAGGACATCGGGTGTGGACCTCTCCATTCACCACATGCATGCACCTGTCCGGATCTGTTATCCCAATATCGGGCGGCACTGCTGAGCCATTCGTAGGCCGAATCCTCACACAGATGTACAACACCCTCCTACAGTCTGCCTTCCAATACCATGCCCTAGACAGAGAACTAACAGCCCACTGTCCCTAAAGCCTACAAACTATACCAGTAACCTTTAACTTAACCTTTCAGTGATCATGACGGTCACCATACATACCTTTAGAACAGATCTGGTGTGGACCTCTCTATATTTTGTCAAAAACTGTATCAGCAACCCACTGGCCCTTTGACCTGAGAGAGTCTTGTACAGTATACAGGTCTGGACTAACTTTTTTTATCGTGACTGTATAGTCTGCTAGACTGAACTGAAAAAGGAGAGAGAAGAAAGAGAATGTACCTTTAGGACATCGGGTGTGGACCTCTCCGTTGACCACATGCATGCACCTATCCTGGTCCGTTATCCCCACATCAGGCGGCACTGCAGATCCATTAGCTGGACTGATCCTCACACAGATGTACAACACCCTCCTACAGTCTTCCGGCTTCAGTGTGAAGACTGTGGTCACACCACGCAGATCAATGGAGCCTGGGGTGGCCGGGATGTCTCCTGCAAGCAGGGCCTGCGCTTCCGGGGGAAACTGGAAGGTGGCGCTGTCGGCAGGCTGGCCATCGTCGGCAGAGTCGGTCGCGCTGAACAGGAGGCTGAAGTCAAACTGTGGCTGGTTGCCGGCGGCGATGATTCTCGGGCCGCGATTGGACACGGACATGTTGAAGGTCAGTCGAATGTCCTCGTCGACGTACAGAACCGGTGGGTCGAAGTCGTAGGAAAAGTGGGAGATGTACAACCCAAGGTCACACTCCTTCTGGAAGGTCCCAGAAATCAGGCTGCGACATTGAAAATTGTCCGCAAGGTCGTCGTCGGGGATATTCGGGACGTACTCTACGCAGATGTAGCTGTATGTCGCACACATGGCGTCGTCGAACCGAAACTGCGCCGTGAGACCCTGCATCGTCACGGTTCCGGGTTTGGCCGCGATCTCCCACCGCAGTTTGGCTTCCTCGGAACCGAAGTTCCATAGAACCGTTTCCATGACGACAGCGTTCCGTAGCGATGGCTCGACGTTCACGTAAAGTCTCAGATCGAACAGGGTTCTTCTCATAGATGTTATTGCAGGCACGCGTGCTCCCGTGTTGCTAAGCAACAGGTCAAAGGTCATGTCCGTGTCCTGGTTGGCGAACAGTTGTCCCGGTGAGATGGTCAGGTCGGTCAAGGTCAGGCCTGAAGGACAAGAGAAACGGAAACCAAAATGGCGGTTAACTTTAAACTTCTTCAATCTGTAGAATGTGACTACCAGGGGAATTCATGGATTTATAAATTAGGATTCTGGATAAGGGAGTATTGTTTTGGGTAGTTGCATGTGCTGTGTGTCTGTTTGTTTCTTTGTTCTGACAGAGTAGGTGGATATCAGGCAGAATGACTGGGGGTCAAAATGTCAGACACATATAGATTGAACTTGAATGTCGTGAAAACCCAAAATACTTAAAATATGGAATTTCCAATTTCCAGTTAAGTCAAGGACTATGAAATAAAGACTAAGCTTCAATTTCCAACACTAACTAAAAAGAATTGGGACTTACCCCAAATTTTCGGTTGACTCAATCAACCTTGTTGACGGAATGAACCCGTCTACTCTTGGAATTTGGGGTAAGTCCCACAATACTTTGTTAGTCAGTGTTGGAAGTTGAAGCTTAGTCTTTATTTCATAATGACCTGTACCAACACAGATTAACTTTCATGCTAAGTCAAGGACTAGTGCAATTCTCAATGTTTTGTTGTTGTCTTGCCAGTTAGTGAATCACTGTAATACCTTTAGTGCAGTCCTTCTTCACGTTCCCTGCTGTAACGTCTATGCAGGAGAAGTCGTTCTCGGAGTTGGTGTCTCCGTAAACTGCGATTTCCCCGATCGCATGGGTGATGCAAACATACCTCAGCACAGGACACATTCCTGTAGTAACATGCAGTACATAAAATCAGTTGTTAATACTATTAGTGTACTGATTTTAACATGGTCGGATTTCGTACACAGATTGTCAGTGGCATTGGTACTGGAAATTGGAACCTCTCCTTCCACTCAGCCTTTTACTTCCCCAACCGACGTTGTGCACCCATTTTTCACCTGGGTGGTCACAATGTCAGGAATTGAACCCTTGACCTCTCTATCTCGTGTCCACTTGCCTTAGCCACTTTTCAATTCAATGCCTGAGCACAGTGGACTGTTTAGCAACCGACTGCCTTTAAAAGGAAAAAGCACCAGTCACATACCTATTGGGACTTTAAAGGTGGCGCGAATTCCAATGACGTTAAGTGTGTATGGGAATGCTGGAACGGCTCCGCGAAGTTTGGCTTGTTGGGTTCCATAGTACATCTCAGCTCCTGTGTGATAAATAAAGTGGAGTTTAATTCTTAGCTACAGAGAGAGCTATCATAGGTCTAGGATACAACACAGATGAGATTCAATTAATTTCAATTTAATTTTCAATTCAATCTATTGTAATTGCAACAGCGCAATACACATAGGGCTGCTGGTGTTCTGTCCTACACATAGATCTGAAGCAAATAAAGGACACACAGTACTCGTTTTCACTTGAGTTAAGTGAGGAAAGTCGTGTAAAGTGCCTTTCCCAAGGCCACAAGATCGGTTGCATGTCAGGATTCGAACAGGATCCTCTTGGTTCCGAGTCGAGCACTCTGCTGTTATTAATTATGCATAACAAAGGTAATGTCTGTTTCACCTGTGTCAAAAGCGCCCTCTAGTGAGTTCTGCGTGTTCAGCAGGATTTTGAAGGTGATGTCGTCTGGAGGAAGCTCCTCTCCGAGGTTCTGGAGCGAAACGTCGATGATCAGAGTTGTCGGCGTGTTTTCATACAGCTTCTCAAGCGGCGATCGTGGGTCGAGTTCGATTGAGAAGGCCATCACAGCAAAATCTGTTGGGAAAAGAGATCATCATGACGATTTAAGCTAAATCTGATATTCATGGCTTAAGGATAAGGGTATTAATATCATAAAACAAGTTTGAACTGTAGTTTCCAGGTCACAAGTGCTATCTACATTGTACATAACATGATGCCAAAGAAGTGGTGATTGCTTTTTCCTACTCGACAAAGACTAACCAGCAGTGTTGAACATTAAAAAACTTTGGTGACTGTCCAATAATGAATTAGCAAATGTAACAATTTAAACTGGTTTCATGATACCTTTATTTGCCTTGAATAACAGAAAGCTAAATTACACATTTTTATTTTTCTGTTTTGCTCTTCACCACACAATATTAATAAGTTAATTAGCATAAGGAAGGTCCCATTCTGGAAGAGGGGTATGCAGCCTTACCTTTCGGGTGATGGACAAATATGGGGATGATGAGGTCATTGTTGGTCTCTGATGATTCGTCGATGGCTCCGATGACGTCATTGGTTGGGTCAGGGTCAAAGGCGTCCAGTCGAACCCCGAGGTAGGTCGGGCCGGCGCCGTAGAACTCAGCGTAGGTGCCGTTGTCAACCCTCAGAACTAGAGATAAATGAGATATAGTCTTGTGAATCCTCTTATAATTCATAAGCCATAAACAATTCTGAATCCAAGTAATATATAGAATGATAAAGCTAGTGACAGTCTTCAATAACTGCAGTGCAAAGCTAGACTATACCTGTAATATCGTATACTGGCAGAGAATCAGATATTCAATAATATTGAGAACTGATGCAGGCAATTCTTAATGCAGGCAATTTCTAAATAATTCATCAATTATTTCTGCAGAAATAATTGATGATGATCATGATGTGTCAGCTAAAAATGATCATAAAATGATAAAAAAAGGAGTCAGTCAGTATCCGGTTTAACATCCGATTGTTCCCCATCTCTATGGATTAGACCTGCTTGCACACTGATCTTATTGTGAGCTTATGTTCTACTTGTAATTTCAGCAGACCCTTACCATCAGAAAGTGCGAAGGAGTGGGAACCAGTTTCATACTGCCTGGTCATGACAGCCATCTGTTGTGCCGTGTAGTCATAAACCACTTCCGGGTCAGAGGTCACATCCAGCTCGGCATCGTGGGACAGGTAGAAGCGGAAGTCGAAGATGGGGAGGTCGGAGGGCGTAACCGTGGCGACGCCCTGGACGGTGATCTCTCCGCGGAGCACAAACGGCGTGGGCTGGTCGATGATCAGTTTGTCGTCGGTGCTGACTGAGAACTCCGTGATCTTCACGTCAATTTGGTCAATTTGCCCTGAAAAAAAATTCAGAAGATCAAAAATTAATCATGAAAGCTCATCTGTGTTGGTAGTGACATGTTTAGAGTTAAAACTTTTGATCCAACACAAAGAAGTCATTCTCTCACCAGAGTGACTGGTCGAAAGCTCTAGGTGAGAGAACTTCTTTGTGTTGTATCAAAAATCTTAACACTACACATCTTTGATGTATGTTAAATTGTACTGTATATATAGTAGTGTGTGCTCGTGTAGTCTTAGACTAGTGTATTGACCCTGTCTCAGGACAATGAGATTAATCGAGAATTTGAATCCCAGGTTTTGTCAGTGATAAAAAGGGTTAAAAGTGCAGTCCTTAGGATAGGACATTATGCCGTGGTCCAATGTACTTGAATGTGTGCCACACAAACCAAGGCTATAGGATCAATGAAATGCGAATTAATGGTGAACTATTTTCCTCACTCACCTTGGGAGCAGTATTCCTCAACATTCCCCAGTTGGACCACATTGCGGTCGTTCTCGGGATATCCATCCACCGGGAGTCCAGCTGCAGTTCCGGGCGAGACCGCCAGGGTGACGTACGTCCTTCTCTCGCAATCCATCGGCACCGTGAACCGCCCGGTAACCACGAGATCCACCCACGACGACTGGTTGAACCCGTGCTGTAGACTTGGGCGGACTTCGCCCGTTGCCGTGGCAACGAACGCGCCATTTATGGTCATGACGTCGACGGAGTTGGTTCCCTGTCCGTCCTGGGCAACATTGTCACATACAGTACAAGGTGTTAGACTTATCTAAAAAGTGCAATTTTGTTATGCCATGCGTTTAGGTCGGGACTTACAAGTCCGGAACTGAACCTAAGCCTCTGGACTTGAATCCGGACCTGAACCTACATGTGGGTTTTACCTGTGCCATGGGGAGTGTTAGCCCGTACAGGTCTGTGTCATAAGGGAACAAGGCAGTCAAAGATAGTACACAAATACAGTCACAAATACATGTACACACGTACACACACACACACACACACACACACACACACACACGCGCGCACATATACACATAGTGACACACACACACACACACACACGCTGTTTGAAGATCTAATAAATAAAAAAGAAAAAAAAATACCTGTGCCATGGCGAGAGTGAGCTCATAGTTGGTGTGTGACTGGTCGGAGAGTGGGAGCGCGCAGGAGCGGCGCGTGCATGCGAGGGTGGCTGACACCGTCACGGCGGTCTCCGCTCCGGGCCACAGCTTCGCGTTGCCTGTCTCCAGCCGGAAGTTTGTCAGCCCGTACAGGTCTGTAAAATAGATTTTGACATTGTTAGAGATATATTAACAAGGCAGTCAAAGGGGGTAGGCTTCACCCCCTAATGCACACATAGACAAGCATGCACACACACACACACACACACACACACACACACACACACACACACATACATACACAACATCACAACATTAATGCTTATACGGAAGTTTGTCAGCCCGTACAGGTCTGTGACAGAGATGAACAAGGAATCAGAGATGGGAAACTTCACATACACTTACAGCTATAACCTTACGTATACTAGTCTGGGATCCTTCTAGTTCTTCAGAAAAGTAGCATAGCAGTATTGAGGATGTATGGTTACCGTATGTTGGGAATCATACAAAAAGGGACAGACAAACAACACTAACATAGACACACACGAATACACACAGAAACACACACACACACTCACACACACACACACACATACATGTACACACAAACACACACATACAGTCACACACAGTCACACACGCACACACACACACACACACACACACACACACACACTCACTCACAAGCCTTTACACTCACCATTCTCTGCGTTACAAGGCAGTGTAACCCCGGTGACCAGGAAGTTGTTGTATTCCAGTGGCTCAGTGAACCTTCCCCCGGAGTCCACATACAGTATCGCAAACAAGGTCCCACAGTACCAGGCACACTCACACACACACACACACACACCAAACACACACACACAGACAAAACCTATGATACACGTGTACTCACCATCCTCTGCGTTACACAGCAGTGTAACCCTGGACACGAGGAAGTTGTTATACTCCAGAGGTTCAGTGAACCTTGACCCAGAGTCCACATACAGTATCGCGAACACAGTTCCACAGTACCAGGAGGTTTGAGCTGGTCTGTGGAGGACCACTCCACGTGCCCGGATCGTGTGGGTTTGTGTCTGGCCTGGGTTGGTGGAGGAGCCTCTTCCCTCGAACCGGATACCTTTACTGGCTCGATCCTGTACCTGCTCATCCAGTGGATCCCAGACCTGGATTGTAAACAAAAGTGTTAGAAGAAGCTCTCATTTGGGACAATGTCAATGGCAACTGTCTGTATGGTGCCAGGTAATGTCCACAGCATTGGGGACATTTGGGTGAAACTTAAGATATGCCTAGATTATGCAAAGTAGGAAATATGAAAGCATAAAGGGGGTGGGGGTACTTTTTGTAGGCATACTGAAAATGAACAGTAACACAGAAGAAGTTAGATGTAGTGATGTATCAATGGTGTTGTAGGTACTGAGGCTTACTGGGTAAAGGTTTAAGGGTTAGCTTCAGGGCTAAAGAGCCAAGGATCAAGGAACATAAGTGTGGCCTATAGAAAACTGTAGTGAACCCGCCTCACCCTATCTAGTGATCAGTAAAGAGTGGCCATCTTTGGTACAGGGTTATGGCAAGGTTTCAAGGCTTGGGTTGGGGTAAGATTAAGCTAAGGTTAAGGTTGTGCTAAGTCAAGGATCAGGATAGATAGATTAGTGTTCATTTTAGTGATATTTCCTCACCCTATCCAGTGACCAGTACAGTCAGTGGCGGTGTAGGGTACAGGGTTATAAAAAAGTAAGGGTTGAGTTGGGCTAAGGTTAGAGTTAGGATCAGTGCAGATACAGAGAAAGAGGGAGAGAGAGAGAGAGAGAGAGAGAGAGAGAGAGAGAGAGAGAGAGAGAGAGAGAGAGAGAGAGAGAGAGAGAGTAGAGAGAGAGGGTGGATAGACTAGCGTTATTGTATTGATCTTTCCCCACCCTATCTAGTGACCAGCACAGAGACTGAATAGCTGTGTGGCCCATAGCTTGGACAGCAGTTAGTATCAGGGTTGATTGATAAGTGTTATTGTACAATGTATTAATAACTCACCCTATCCAGTGACCAGCACAGAGACTGAATAGCTGTGTGGTCCATAGCTTGGACAGCAGTTAGTATCAGGGTTGATTGATAAGTGTTATTGTACAATGTATTAATAACTCACCCTATCCAGTGACCAGTACAGAGTGGCTGTGTAGTCCGTAGCCCGGACGGCGGTGCTGAGATAACTCCCCACGGTTACCGACACGGCTGCCGTAATGTCCAACGGCTCCTGTCCACACACGATCCTCTCTGTGCTGAAGGTAACCGACTCTCCTGCAAGGTCCATCTGGTCTGCAATATGGCAAAACCACAAGTTTGTCAGTAACAGCTCCCTCTGGTAGAACGTATAGAAACTGCAGTATGGACACACCAAAACACCACACACACACACACTCACTCACTCACACACACACACACACATAAACACACACACACACACACACACTCACTCACACACACACACACACACACACACACACACACACACACACACACACACACACACACACACACACACACACACACACACACACACATCAACCACCACAACACAACCACACACACACACACACACACACACACACACACTCACACACACACACACACACACACACACACACACATAAACACACACACACACACACACACACTCATTGGCACACACACATGCACGCATACACACACACACACACACACACACACAGGCTCACACACAGGCTCACACACAGGCACACACACACACACTCACATGCATGCATACAGGCCTATCTGGTCTAAAACATACCAAACCCAGGCTATTACAAATGCCAGACAGATAGAAACAGAAAGATTTAAATCATGACGGCTATGCAAGTAAGATTGTGGTATAAAGCACTCTATAAGCTCAAGTTATGTCTTAAGAATTCTGAAGTAAAAGAAAAAAAAATGAATACGTACTTCCTTTAGCGACGTCCCCGTAGCTTATGGGTACCTTCACCAGGTTGTTTCCCCTGGTGAAGACACTTTCCTCCGACCCGTCCGTGGGCGATACCACTATCTGCATGTGGGTGGGGCGGGACCCCATGGTGTAGACATAACCACTAGTCAGAACACCCCCGTCAATGGTAGCTTCCACTCCTGTCAGATGTAGCGCGGTGCCTGCTGGGATTGCGTCATACGCTTCGTTTGGGAGAATCAGGTCTTTGATCACGGACACGTCACCGCCCACGAGTCTCCCGTCATTCATCAGTGCTACCATGGCAACGTCCAATCGGAAGTGCTCGTTGCCGGGAAACGTGGCGGGAAGGTCGCGAGGGCTGTTGTTCTCGATGGTGAGGTCGAAGGTCAAGGTCGTGTCCACGTCGGGGTAAATCTTGGTCTGCTTGGGTCCAAGGTCAAATGTGACGTCCCTCAGGCCAAACAGTTCTGACAAGAAAAAAGACGTATTATGGATTTTTTAACAATTGAAATTATATATTTTTGAATATAGGGTAACATAGTCATAATGTATTGCACCATCTAGTAAAATTAATTTTTATTGACATATAGTTATAACATTATTCATGAAAAATGGAAAAAGCTTTCAGTTTGATACCTTTGGGGCAAAGTAGGCGCACAGGCCTGATGACGTCATTGTTCCACTCGTCCAGCTCCGGAAAACGCCCCACCATGCCCACTGAAGCGCCACCTAGCGTGCATAAAAACCATTGCAGTTATGATACATAAAATAATTAAAAAAAAGTAAAGTGACATTGAAATACATGTACATGCCCGAGGGCTAGTTGCAGGTGCAAACAACATTATATGAAAAAGAAGATACAATGATATAAGAGACTACATCTAACATTATACTACATTCTACAGCATACATCTTACTAGTTTTGCTGGGTTTGACTTCTTCTTTTGAGGTAGTGGAAGAATGAATTTACCCACTTCTACTATAATATGTAGTTTCTTTGATATCACTTATATCGTTTTTTTTGCACCCAGACATGGAATAATACAAGACTTGGTGCTGGAAGGTTCATAATTTCATCACTACCAACTTTTCAGCACCAAGGACAGATACTGCCAAACAATACATTTATTCTTTTATCTATTTCCATTGTATTTAGTCAAGGTAGAACAACTTTTCAAGGTCGAAGAGAATTTTCGCTGCCTAAACTTGTAGTACCATGAACATACATGAATATTACATTATCATAATACAAGGAAAGAAAAATACATGAACAAAAATGAAATTCAGTGTGTACAACCAAGCTGTGCAAGTCTAAATCGTGTAACGTAAACCATATCTAACAAGCCACACTGTGTTATGATGGTATACAGTAGGGACTTGCTAGTTCTGCACTTTTAATTGTTGATGTTCTTCTCTGTAACATCGTTCGGTGTGATATAGCTAGCTGCCACCGCGCCGCGTGCCTGCGAAGCTGGTGTCTTACGCCGAAGGGCGGTTATACCGGCTATACTGATACAGATACATCAGCATATTTATGGCTATTAAGTGGTCCTTTGCACCTCATAACGATGATTCGAACGGTCTTGAATAATTTATTTGCTCACAGGACAAGCGAGGACACAGTAAAAACTATTCGACGTCAGACAATGTGCTTTTGCACGTCTCACACCCGAACTCATTACTTATTCATGATCTTTATTCTGTAGTTATAACAACAGCATATTTGTCTGGTGAGTCATGGAGGGTCGATGACTTTAGTTTTCCAGAAGAAAACATGTTGCTTCTGCTCTGTTTCTTATTCTTCTTTTTCTCAGAACAAAAAAGGTCAATGACCTCGACCAGACGGCTGTCACCATGGTAACTGGCGCTGAAGAAGACACTCTGTAGTTTTGGGTTACATTTTGTAACAAGGCAGAGTTGGAGGGGCTGGTCACCATATACTAGTATTTGGATGTGTTAAAGTTAAAATAAACAAAGCAGTACTGTCACTGTGCAATAATGTCACCATGCTAACTGGTGCTGTAGCAAAAACTCTGCGGTTTTGGGTTACATTAGGTACAGAGTTGGAGAGGCTGGTCACCTTATACTAGTATTTGGGCGTGTTTAGATTAAAATAAAAAGAGCTGAAGTTTGTTAGGCTACACCATGTGAAAGTAAACATTATGCATTTGCTTTGCAAATGCTACATTTCTAGTTAGATCATTTAGAGTTGTTAATCGATTTAATTCTTACTGTAGTCAGCCGTTAAACGGAGGTACGTGTCGTCACTTCCGCACAGGGAGTACGTCACATCCGTCTCGCTGATGTTCAGCGTCAAGTCTCGCGAGATCAGGTCTATTACGTGACGGCCTGTTGCCAGCACCCTACTGGTGGTCTCAAATGTGAACTTCACCTGTGAGAAAATAATATTAAACATTTTGTTAAGGCTCTGTCATACAGCCGAATATGACCTCCCGAAGACTGCCGAACTCCCTTATATCATGGTTTAGCCTGGAGTCCAGCCCTATTAGCTTTGGTCTGCTCCCCAAGATCCGCTACACAGCCAAAAATCTTGTGGAGCGGACCAAAGCTAACAAGGCTGGACTCCAGGCTAACCATGGTTAGGAGTAGATCCTGTCACACATAGCTGAATATGGCCGAATGTTTCAAACCAGCCGAATGTTTAAAAATGTTAAAAACATTTGGGTGTGGAAGGCAGGTTCGGTCATTGTTCACCGCTTGGTTGGTGATTGGGTTGGTCGAGGCATGTTTGGGGTCAAATTTGACTCAAATTTAACCCAAATCTGATCGGATTCATTCAGAAAGACAGTCGTGACCTATATCTGGTCAGACCACTCCAGAACTTCAGCCAACCTTTGTTATTTGGTGGTCGGGGGAAGGTTCCGAATCTGACTTTCCAAGTACAAGTAGTATGGGCAATGCTAGAGTACAAGTTTACATAATACGTGTCAACTGTATTCTGATAAACTCTGAGCCTTACCATATAAGAGTTCCCCCTGTCTGCCACCACTTGGGTGTTGTCCGTGGTTATGTATCCATGGAAACTGACGTTTCGAAGGTCAAGGGTCACGGAACCTTTCAGGTCGAACACTCCCCACACCTGCAGGCTGTTGACGTCATCAAGACGCAGAACGCCGTTCGGTACGAGCATGCGCGGAACGCTCACGTCGATGCTGTCTGTAGAGTAGTAGGAAAATTATGATTAGATTTTTTTTCATTTTTTATCTCATTGTTTTTGCTTGGGATATCAAAAATATAAGAATATAACTATACAAATAGATTTCAGTTGGCGTTTCGGCCTTGTTATTTTGTTATCTGGAACCTTACTTCATGCCTATTCAAGATTATTTGGAGTAAATTCTGATATGTCTGCAAAAAAAGCTGAAATATTACACTGACAGACACTTAAAGGCATCCAATGCTATTTCAGGGAAGCAAAACTAGAAGTGAAGTTTCTGGTCATTCCTTTTATGTTGTGAGTTAAAAAAACCCTATCCCATATGACATCCAAGGGTTACTTACTTGTCATCCAACGATCGTTGCATTCCTTCTCAACCAATGAGCTTCCTCCGATCTCCACGCACACGTCATTGTTGCCTGGCAACGGGTCCGCGTGTGTTCCAGACGGCAGCTCCACCGACAGGCACAGGTACGCGACCGTGTCACATGACTCTCGCGAGATTTCGAACGAGAACACGACGTCTTCGAACACGAGTGACTCCCCCACGCCAACCGCGGCCTGCACAGCTGACTGAATTTTCGGATCTCTTGTAAAATCCGCTTCCAAATTCACTCTGTTTTCTTCGATGACATTTTCGAGCTGGTTTAAAGCTGAACCAGCGAGTTTGAGGGCGAAATTCGGGCTAGAGGGGGTCCCTCTTGGAATGACACTCGGACCGAGGTTGTTGATTGAGAAGGAGGAAAGAACTTGGATCCGCTTTCCTTGGTAGAGTCTTCCCGCGTCCACGGAATGGATCTTGACCTCTGTCAAGGTCACGTCTAGAACACAAATAAGATGAACGTTTAGCATGGAGATTCAAAACTTGATAGCTAAAACTGATGAACACATGGTTCTGGTCAAAGTAAAAAAACACAATGTTCTTGTTTTCTAATTGTAACTCATTGAGCACAGAGTCTAAGGGGTTGGTGACTAAAACTTGTGAAAATTTGATTCTGAACAAACACCTAAAACACAAAAATTGAACGTTAAGCATGAATGTCCAAAGCTGCTGGATGAAAACTTGATTCTGATCAACTGAGTCGTTGTTGCTAACCAACTGAGCACCTAGTCTTAAGCTGTTGGTAACTAAATTTTGTTTGAAACTTGATTCTGAATAAAGAGGAAAAAATAAAGTTGTTTTTCTAGCTCCAACTTACCCGTGTTGACACTAAGCGACGGAGATGCACAAAGGACGATCCCAACGAAGGCCAGAAGCCACACGGCTGCAGCCATGGTAGATATGTGTCCGTAAGATGGTCGTTCTGATGGGAAAATAAAGACATAAATACATATCAGAAGACTGTAGATCAGTTATTTTGTAATCGAATTCTTGTGGTGGTCACCTCCCTGAAATTCTTCAAACCGTGAAGTCGTAGAAAGACTATTGACCAATAGACAGAGTCATTCGAACAAACCAAAAATGGAAAATGTACACATTTAGCTATTTGTAGTAATCTATTGAATGTTAGCACGAATTTACATGTTACGCCTCACCTCACCTGTCCCGTTACCTTGTGAGGACACCTTTTCACATAAAGGTGAAAAAACACCCTCTTAATAAAAAAACTATAAAAATTCCGTCCACTTGCGAATTCGTATCTAATAGACCTTATCCTATGCAAGAAAAAGTCAGTGTGCAACTACAAGCTAAGGTATACACAGTTGACACGGACGCTTCAATGTTTTGTCGCCATAACAACACGTACGCAGACGACATTATACATTTTGTACTGTAATTCACTTTATATTCGCGGTAGCAAAAGTTTACGGTCTGAGAAAAATGGACATGTTCACGGAACTACATATCCACTATGAAAACAGGTGCAGGGAAGAGAAAATCCAGGAATTATTTGTTAACTGTAATGATAAGTTCACGGTACAGAAGTGACAGTGAAAACAGTGAATATAACAGTACAGTGAAAAAATCAGGAATTACAGTTATTACTGTAGTATGTCCCCACTGATGCCATCAAACATGGTCACCAAGGGCTGCAGTTTGGACCTAACAAACTGGAAACTAACAATGAAGGCGTGGTGATGTTGTTATAGTGTGCAATCAAATAGAAAAGGCTACATTGTTCATCAGGTAGCAACAAGTATAGCAAACAAATATTAGATGCATTTACTTTATATTAGAATAGAGTATCGTTAGAAAAAGAAACATTTGTGGCGACTCTTACAAATGTAGTGACAATGACAAGCATAGACATTCTGATATACACATGAACTGAAATATAAACAGTATCGTTCATTTTTAATAAATGCACGAAGCATATTCAAAACATTTGACACAAAACACCATCAAATGTCATTTCGTTAGAGGTTTGAATGAGAAAAAAATCTCCATGTTTCTTTTAAGCCGTCAAATGTGTAGTAAAGGTAATAGACTCGGGAATAAGGTCAGAAAGTCCAAAGAATCCAGTGTAATTGGTGATTCCTTTTTATGATATATTTAGATAGAAGGCATGGCGGGTTACAACCAGTCCCTGACAAAAACCACCTTACGTAGAGTGACTTAGAACAGCCACATACCTTATGTCACAAGAAAGTGGACTATGTCTTTATATCTCTAGTAACATTTATTACCATCTTGTAGTGAGAGTTTCACGGATGTTCATGACTTAGGACCATACATATCTCATACGTAGATGTAGAAAAGGCCAGATGTACTGAAATTGGTCCCCAAAATAAGGCCAAATATAATCGGTAGTTAAGATATACCCCTACAGAGCACATTAAAAATAGACTGCTTTCTGTTATACACAGACTGTCAGAATATCCATAACCTTTCGTTCGTTCAGTTGACGTAGCCTGTACCAGGCTTCGGGTGGCGGCTGGAAGGAGTAGAAAATGGGCAAATAGAGAGATAACATGCCAAGGGAGTTGGTCCGCTGGAGAGTAACTTCGAGAGCGGCAAACTGTACTCTCCAGCGGAGCAACTCCCCTGGCACGTTATCTCTCTATTTGGCCAATTTCTACTCTTTCCAGTCGCCTCCCGAAGCCTGGTAGAGTTGACGCATAGTTGAAAATTTGGGATTTTTCCATGAAAAATATATTTTACTGTCGAAAATATTGAAAAATGAAGACACAGTAAAAATAGTGGTTCTTACCTTACAGACCTGAGGAATGTGATGTGCACATACAGTCCATGAATAATAAATGACGTCATCCCTAATCGCACATCATTGCTCCTTTTGTTCTGGCTCCCCTGGGGACGAGGACGTTATGGCCCTTTTGTTCCAACTCCCCTGGGAACGAGGACAGCATTATGGCCTGGAGACGAGTGTGCCTGTTTCGGAAAACAAAATATAACTGCAAGGTGATTGTAAAAAATTACTTCAAATACACCTCAATTTTGCATGGCTTTTCTTCACTATATATATATATATATATATATATATATATATATATATATATATATA